TTGTTTTATTGTTATTTTTTTCTAATTATTGTTACATTGTTATCAAGGGGTGAGACGGTCCACTCTGCTGTGATTGGTTACTTAGTTTTACACCTTGGGAAATGTTGTCTGTCGTGTGCAGTACCTTCCATGTTGCCTCCTAGTGTACCGAAGCTAATGTTACTACAGTATTTGTTTTCTTTATACTATTAGCATTTTTCGTGTTGTTTGTTGTTACATTATTTATTTTGTTGTTGTTGAGGTCGATATTGTCCCCACTCTGCTTTTTTTTTTACTTCTGCTGCTACACCTTCATGCTCATTCACTGCTGCTACACCTTCATGCTCATTCACTGCTGCTACACCTTCATGCTCATTCACTGCTGCTACACCTTCATGCTCATTCACTGCTGCTACACCTTCATGCTCAGTCACTGCTGCTACATCTTCATGCTCATTCACTGCTGCTACACCTTCATGCTCATTCACTGCTGCTACACCTTCATGCTCATTCACTGCTGCTACACCTTCATGCTCATTCACTGCTGCTACACCTTCATGCTCATTCACTGCTGCTACACCTTCTGGCTCATTCACTGCTGCTACACCTTCATGCTCATTCACTGTTGCTACATTCGTGCTCATTCACTGCTGCTACACCTTCATGCTCATTCACTGCTGCTACACCTTCATGCTCATTCACTGCTGCTACCTTCATGCTCATTCACTGCTGCTACATCTTCATGCTCATTCACTGCTGCTACACCTTCATGCTCATTCACTGCTGCTACACCTTCATGCTCATTCACTGCTGCTACACCTTCATGCTCATTCACTGCTGCTACACCTTCATGCTCATTCACTGCTGCTACACCTTCATGCTCATTCACTGCTGCTACACCTTCTGGCTCATTCACCGCTACACCTTCATGCTCATTCACTGCTGCTACACCTTCATGTCGCTCATTCACTGCTGCTACACCTTCATGCTCATTCACTGCTGCTACACCTTCATGCTCATTCACTGCTGCTACACCTTCATGCTCATTCACTGCTGCTACACCTTCTGGCTCATTCACTGCTGCTACACCTTCATGCTCATTCACCGCTACACCTTCATGCTCATTCACTGCTGCTACACTTCATGCTCATTCACTGCTGTACACCTTCATGCTCATTCACTGCTGCTACACCTTCATGCTCATTCACTGCTGCTACACCTTCATCTCATTCACTGCTGCTACACCTTCATGCTCATTCACTGCTGCTACACCTTCATGCTCATTCACTGCTGCTACACCTTCATGCTCATTCACTGCTGCCACCTTCATGCTCATTCACTGCTGCTACACCTTCATGCTCATTCACTGCTGCTACACCTTCACGCTCATTCACTGCCACACCTTCATGCTCATTCACTGCTGCTACACCTTCACGCTCATTCACTGCTGCTACACCTTCATGCCTCACACTGCTGCTACACCTTCATGCTCATTCACTGCTGCTACACCTTCATGCTCATTCACTGCTGCTAACCTTCATGCTCATTCACTGCTGCTCCATCTTCACGCTCATTCACTGCTGCTACATTCACGCCTTTCACCGTGCCACACCTTCATGCTCATTCACTGCTGCTAACCTTCATGCTCATTCACTGCTACTACACCTTCATGCTCATTCACTGCTGCTACATCTTCACGCTCATTCACTGCTGCTACACCTTCATGCTCATTCACTGCTGCTACACCTTCATGCTCATTCACTGCTGCTACACCTTCACGCTCATTCATTGCTGCTACATCTTCACGCTCATTCACTGCTGCTACACCTTCATGCTCATTCACCGCTGCTACACCTTCATGCTCATTCACTGCTGCTACACCTTCATGCTCATTCACTGCTGCTACACCTTCATGCTCATTCACTGCTGCTACACCTTCATGCTCATTCACTGCTGCTACACCTTCATGCTCATTCACTGCTGCTACACCTTCATGCTCATTCACTGCTGCTACACCTTCATGCTCATTCACTGCTGCCACCTTCATGCTCATTCACTGCTGCTACACCTTCATGCTCATTCACTGCCAACACCTTCATGCTCATTCACTGCTGCCATCCTTCATGCTCATTCACGCTGCTACATCTTCATGCTCATTCACTGCTGCTACACCTTCATGCTCATTCACTGCTGCTACACCTTCATGCTCATTCACTGCTGCTACACTCCTCATGCTCATTCACTGCTGCTACACCTTCATGCTCATTCACTGCTGCTACACCTTCACGCTCATTCACTGCTGCTACACCCTATGCTCATTCACTGCTGCTACACCTTCATGCTCATTCACTGCCACACCTTCTCGCACTGAGTTACACCCAGATATAGGAACTAAAAGAAGCTTTATATAATGACTAATGTGGTGTTATTGAGATGGGGAGGCAGCATGGAGGAATAAAGATAGTGTAGGAGGCAGTATGGAGGAATATAGATAGTGTAGGAGGCAGTATGGAGGAATATAGATAGTGTAGGAGGCAGTATGGAGGAATATAGAGAGTGTAGGAGGCAGTATGGAGGAATATATAGAGAGTGTAGGAGGCAGTATGGAGGAATAAAGATAGTGTAGGAGGCAGTATGGAGGAATATAGAGAGTGTAGGAGGCAGTATGGAGGAATAAGAGAGTGTAGGAGGCAGTATGGAGGAATAAAGATTGTGTAGGAGGCAGTATGGAGGAATATAGAGAGTGTAGGGAGGCAGTATGGAGGAAAGATAGTGTAGAGGCAGTATGGAGGAATATAGAGGTGTAGGAGGCATGGAGGAATATAGAGTGTAGGAGGCAGCATGGAGGAATATAGAGAGTGTAGGAGGCAGTATGGAGGAATATAGATAGTGTAGGAGGCAGTATGGAGGAATATAGAGAGTGAGGCAGTATGGAGGAATATAGATAGTGTAGGAGGCAGTATGGAGGAATAAAGATAGTGTAGGAGGCATGGAGGAATATGAGAGTGTAGGAGGCAGTATGGAGGAATATAGAGAGTGTAGGAGGCAGTATGGAGGAATATAGATAGTGTAGGAGGCAGTATGGAGGAATATAGAGAGTGTAGGAGGCAGTATGGAGGAATATAGATAGTAGGGAGGGCAGTATGGAGGAATATATAGTGTAGGAGGCAGTATGGAGGAATATAGAGAGGTAGGAGGCAGTATGGAGGAATATAGAGTGTAGGAGGCAGTATGGGAGGTAAGGAGGTGGGAGGCAGTGGAGGAATATAGAAGTGTAGGAGGCAGCATGGAGGAATATAGATAGTGTAGGAGGCAGTATGGAGGGAATATAGAGGTGTAGGAGGCAGTATGGAGGAATATAGATAGTAGGAGGCAGTATGGAGGAATATAGGAGTGTAGGAGGCAGTATGGAGGAATATAGAGAGTGTAGGAGGCAGTATGGAGGGAATATAGATAGTAGGGAGGCAGTATGGAGGAATATAGATAGTGTAGGGAGGCAGTATGGAGGAATATAGATAGTGTAGGAGGCAGTATGGAGGAATATAGAGTGTAGGAGGCAGTATGGAGGAATATAGATAGTAGGAGGCAGTATGGAGGAATATAGATAGTGTAGGAGGCAGTATGGAGGAATATAGATAGTGTAGGAGGCAGTATGGAGGAATATAGAGAGTGTAGGAGGCAGTATGGAGGAATATAGATAGTGTAGGAGGCAGTATGGAGGAATATAGATAGTGTAGGAGGCAGCATGGAGGAATATAGATAGTGTAGGAGGCAGTATGGAGGAATATAGATAGTGTAGGAGGCAGTATGGAGGAATATAGATAGTGTAGGAGGCAGTATGGAGGAATATATAGTGAGAGGAGTGGAGGAAAGAGAGTGTAGGGAGGCAGTATGGGAGGAATATAGATAGTGTAGGAGGCAGTATGGAGGAATATAGATAGTGTAGGAGGCATGGAGGAATATATAGTGTAGGAGGTATGGAGGAATATAGATAGTGTAGGAGGCAGTATGGAGGAATATAGATAGTGTAGGAGGCAGTATGAGAATATAGATAGTGTAGGAGGCAGTATGGAGGAATATAGATAGTGTAGGAGGCAGTGTAGGGAGGAATATAGATAGTGTAGGGAGGCAGTATGGAGGAATATAGATAGTGTAGGAGGCAGTATGGAGGAATATAGATAGTGTAGGAGGCAGTATGGAGGAATATAGATAGTGTAGGAGGCAGTATGGAGGAATATAGATAGTGTAGGAGGTATGGAGGAAATATAGATAGTGTAGGAGGCAGTATGGAGGAATATAAGAGAGTGTAGGAGGCAGTATGGAGGAATATAGATAGTGTAGGAGGCAGGGAGGAATATAGATAGGGAGGCAGTATGGAGGAATATAGAGAGTGTAGGAGGTATGGAGGAATATAGAGAGTGTAGGGCAGTATGGAGGAATATAGATAGTGTAGAGGTATGGAGGAATATAGATAGTAGAGGCAGTATGGAGGAATATAGATAGTGTAGGGAGGCAGTATGGAGGAATATAGATAGTGTGGAGGCAGTAGGGAGGAATATAGAGTGTAGGAGGCAGTATGGAGGAATATAGAGAGTGTAGGAGGCAGTATGGAGGAATATAGATAGTGTAGGAGGCAGCATGGAGGAATATAGAGAGTGTAGGAGGCAGTATGGAGGAATATAGATAGTGTAGGAGGCAGTATGGAGGAATATAGATAGTGTAGGAGGCAGCAGGGAGGAATATAGATAGTGTAGGAGGCAGCAGGGAGGAATAAAGATAGTGTAGGAGGCAGTATGGAGGAATAAAAATAGTAGAGGAGGCACTGTGAAGGGTAAGAGGGAAAAAATGATGCAAAGGGCAAGAAGAGAAGGATGGTGTAGAAGACAATAAGGATGATGTAGAGGGCAGTAAAGATGGCGTAGAGGGCAATAAGGGTGGTAAGAAGGCATTGGAGATGGTGTAGAGGGCAATGATGATGATGGTGCAGGAGGATGAAGTATGCTAATGAGTGTGTCTTACAGGAGCGGGTACGAGTATGCGAGCACCAAGTTCGTGGAGAAGGACCTTGATGTGGACTGTGCTGGCCGTCACTACGTCATCACCGGTGAGTACCTGCCCAGGTGTGTAACTTCCCAGGTGCAGCTCCCAGACAAGGTTATTGACTGAGGTTGCTGTGAGTGTGCGGTTCTATGGGTCTGTGAGTGTGCGATTTTGTAGGTGTGTGTGTGTGTGTGTGTGTGTGTGTGTGTGTGTGTGTGTGTGTGTGTGTGTGTGTGTGTGTGGTGTGTGTGTGTGTGTGTGTGTGTGTGTGTGTGTGTCCACTAGCAATTGTTAATTTGACAGGTGAAGAACTTAATGACGTATGTATTGTGAAAGACGAGGTCATTACTCAGGGCCACAACATTCACCCCTCCAGCACAGCTCTAGGTATGTTTTTGCTCTAGGAGTGAGTCTGGGTTATCTCTAGGAACCACCAAGAGCTGCATGTTGTACCACGAGTGTCCCTCAGAGGGTGTTCATGTCTAACAAAAACAGGGCAGGAATTTACTTCATAAGGAGTACAAGAAGACCTGAAGCGGGTATTAGTGTAGGCTGAAAATATAAAAATGCAGTTTAAAGTCGAGAGATGTAACGTATTGTGACAACGGGGAGGAAACATGGGAACTAGATAACACCTAAATAATGAATTTACCGAGAACTCTGAATGCGAGAGAAATATTTAAAAAGAGATTAATAATGACTTAAAACCAAGGCCCGTTTGTCAATGTGCGCAACGTAATATCTGTACATGCTCTGACTTTATGAAGGACCGTTTGTATACAGAAGTGCACTTGTTATTTTACTTGATGCTGTTTAGTTTTGGTCACCTAACTATAGAATTAATGTATATGATTATTAAACTATCCTGAGCATTAGAAACCTTACATGTACAGAAAAAATAAGAAAAATTGATTTGCTTTTTTTTTTCTCAATTACATAGAGTGAGGGTCGTTATGATCCAAATGGACCAATGGATGTTAGGTTTAAATCCGTATGATATAAATGAGGATTTTTACCGAAATTAGACTACCAAATCAAGTCAGAGATTGATACATTGGATTTGAATAAGAGAATTTAGATGGAGAAAGTGAACAAGTAAACTCTGACCTCGACTAAAAATTATAAATGAGTGGAACAAGTTACCTAAACACACCATGAAGGCAAGTTACCTGTAGACTAATACAGACCAGCGGGGTTGGGCATCCTGAGGTACAAACTCTTACTCCAAACTATGGTTGATTGTAAAGGTACGGCGGTGAAGTCTCATTAAATAACAGTGACATCAACGCAGCTATCAGGTCCACCGCCAGACACACTTTCTCTCACTCGTTCTTCCTCTCACCATTATCTTCCATTCATCACAGGTTTAATCATTGACGTTTCTTCTGTTTTGTATACTGTTACAGTGATGCAATTATGCAAGTTAAACCCAAGTATCAGTTAATGTAACAACTACGAAATAATAGATAACTACACCTTTGGTGCTCGTAGAAGGCTACCGTATACATTTATTTCTCCACTTCCCTAGTAACAAATTAAAAATCTACAAATTTTCGAGTACAGGTAATTGGAACTTGTGATAGACAAATCTAACAATAATTTATTAAGTGGCAACATTGTAATGACGTCACAGCGGAACTGGAGATCACTGGCGGAGCATAAAAAGTGAGATCGTGTTGGAGGGTGTCTGAGGGGTGCGGTAGTTATTATTGTTTGGTGAGAGTGAAGGCTGCTTGTACCTTTCACTTTGTTTGCTAGTGGTCTGCCTCGTCCGCTGTCTTATGAAAGTATAAGGTTTAGGCTCATTTATTCCTGCACTATAGGTTGTATGATCCTTGTATAGATGTAGTGAAAGTCTTATCTACCTTCTCCTGTCTCACTGCTCCGTCTCTCCTTTTCCTTTTAGCCTCTTCACCACTGATCGGCTCGTTAGCCGCTTGGGCGATCTGTCAAGTCTCTGATTACTTTTCACTACAACACTAAGGTTTTCTACCGTAAAATACAGTACAAATAATACAAATAAAGGAAATTAAAGTCAACAAACATGAGAGAGAGAGTCCTCCGTCACGTAGTGCATAATATAAGATCTAGGATTAATTGTCGTTGCAAGACGTGGTAAGATCCCTGACTGGGGTGTCCTGCTGGCTGCTGACCTTCAGGTGACGTTGCTGTGGCATCCTCACAGCCACTCTGTTGCTGCTGCTTATAAGCGTTGGCATGGAACTGGTACACTCCCAAAAATTAACTGGTCTTCCCTCAAAACTAAACTCTTCTTTGATAAAGTTTAACAAGAACGTTATGGAAAGCACGAAAATTATTCAATTACTTAGTAAAGTCCAGTACTGTATATTGTTTCCTTGTGGTTATCAGCATATACTTGAATCACGCGCCCCTACAGTGACTTACTTGTTTATATATATATATATATATATATATATATATATATATATATATATATATATATATATATATATATATATATATATATATATATATATATATATATATATATATATATATATATATATATATATATATATATATATAATGTGTGTGTGTGTGTGTGTGTGTGTGTGTGTGTGTGTGTGTGTGTGTGTGTGTGTCAGGGCGCCCTCATGAGAAACTTCTAAGTCCATTACTGGTTGTAAGTATTGTATCATTTTTATTTAACTTACTCTAAGTGTAGCAGTGACAGATGAAACTATAAATCATTAATGCCTAAGAAATATTAATTGCCTATCACACTATTTAATACATTGTGGAATAAATTTGTATGATCTCTATTGACAAGAAATCTTTTACTTGAGTGAATTCGTTCATAAATGATCTCAAATTGCATTTAAAATTGCTCTGACAAGCTGACAGTCTTTCATTGTTTTCTTCTGTCTTCTTATGGAGTCCTTGGTGGTAGTGGTGCTCGGGTGTGTGGCGCCAAGGTCCAGTCAAGACCAGTCAAAACTAGTCCGCATTCTCAAAAGTCGGTGTGATTAAAATTCAACGTACCTTACTGGTTGACTTCATTAAACACGACTACACTATAAAGTACAAAAGTACATGGTAAATTACAGCTCTAACTAAATAACTTCACATAGCACAACTTAAGAGATATAATTAATAGATTCTTTCCAGACTCAACGTTAATTTCGTCTCGTGTTAAGTGAACGTACAGTGTTTTAGGTGATATAAATTAGTTAGGTACATTCTTACATCTTCACTAACGAGGAACAATTCATCGTAGGAGCCTCTGACAATCTGCCCCATGAGCGAGTTGACTGTTACTACGCGCTATATGTTAATAATAACTTTGATGACTCCAGCGGTCATTAGCCTGACGCTTTAAACCATTCACATGATCACTTTATATCCCTCACTAGCTTAACACCACTGTACCTCTACAGATCACAGGAGTACCACAGCATTGCCACAGCTCTCAGAAATAAGTCTCAACGCTTTTATACCACAACAGAATCATACCTTCCCAAGATCACCACAGCTCACCACGTCCCTCCTCCTCTCCCACAGGATGCAACAGCGGAATCGGGTTTGAGATCGCCCAGCAGGTTGCCAAGAAGGGCGGCATCATCCATATGGTGTGTCGCAATGAGGCTTCCGGCAAGGCTGCACGTTCTGAGATCATCACCACCACAGGCAACGACGTGAGTCCTGTTTACCTGTTGCTTGAATCCTTCCTTCGCTGTCTTCCTGTTGACGTAGTCCTTTCCTTATTTCTGCTGTTTGAGTCTTTCCTTATTTCTCTGTTGCCTGAGCCTTTCCTTGTCTCCTGTTGCTTGAGTCCTTCCTTATCTCCCTGTTGCTTGAGTCCTTCCTTATCTCCCTGTTGCCTGAGTCTTTCCTTGTCTCCTGTTGCTTGAGTCCTTCCCCATATCGGTTGTTACTTTACTTTTGGTTAGGTTAGTGTTACTTTGTCCTTGTTACTTGTTGATGATGAATCTTTATTCCTACTTTAGGTTTTCCTTCTTGTTATATGAAAAGTAACTTTGTTTGGGCGACATATCTTAAAAAGTAACAAACCGTATGCAACAGTAAGGGGGGTGCTGTTACGTACGGTTTGTTGCTTGTTAATGCTACTTGTTGTTAATGTTGGATCTTGGTGCTACTTCTTGATTGTGATATAAGCGTTTCTCTTCCTAGGAGGCTCACTGATCTCAAAGATCATCAGAGAGACGAGTTTTGTCTTCTTTTTTTTCCTGTCGGTCATAACAACACTACCTAAATAAAAAAATTATCATACACAGCCACCAACTTTGCCAAGTATACGCTCTTAAGTGTATTTTGCATGAAGGTTGTATTCCTGTATATTCAGTTACTGTCATAAATCTATTGTATTTCAACCTGCCATTATAGACATCAATTCTTTTACCACATGGAAAGGTCACCACAGCCTTCCCCTACCTAGTATTATATTCCCTTTGCAGAAAATCTATCTTCACGTGGTGGACCTCGCGAGGCCATGCTCGGTGGCCAAGTGGGCTGCCAAATTTGCTGCTCGTCAGGAACACATCCATTGCTTGATCAACAATGCTGGCTGCCTTCTCAGAGACCGCCAGTCCGACGAAGATGGCTACCAAGTGGAGGTCAACTTCGCCGTCAACACTCTCGCCCCCTACATCCTCATCGTCTCTCTCCTGCCTGTGCTCCAGAGGTGAGTAACAGAAACTCGAAACCTACATGATTGCCCAATAAAGACATAATGTGAATTAGGTGTTAAATCTTAGCAGAGGTTGGAGTTTGTGGGACGGACAGTGTCATGAGACAAGTTGCCGGGAGAGAGAGAAAAACTTATTGAGCACCACAAGGCCTGTAATCCCCATCTGACCATTAACCATGACAAGAATGTGTAGAGCTAAGCCCCATCTGATCATTAACCATTACTAAAATATGTAGGTCTAAGGCCCCCATCAGAACATTAACCATGACAAAAGTGTATGTACTGTACTGTATCATGGTAACGTGTGTATGTGTTCGTGACAGGAACGAGGACGCCCGGGTGATCAACGTCAGCTCGGCAGGGATGCTGTGTGTAAGGCTGGACCCCAATGACCTGATGCACGAAACCATGGAGCCCTTCGACGGCCGCCTCGTGTACTCACAGAACAAACGCCAGATGGTAAAGTATTGAGATAAGGGGGTGACGACTTTAGAGCACAGATTAATAGGTGGATGGTATGGTTAAATCTAGAGCACATAATAGGGAACCTGAAAATAACGAATGGGTGGATACACAGCAGGAATTTTGAAGGTGCACTGAAAGCAGTTAATGGGTGGATAAAGAGTAGTCAATGAGTGGTTATATACAGTAGAAGGTAATGGGTGGATATAGAGCAGTTATTGGGTGGATTTAGAGAAGGTAATGGGTGGATAAAGAGTAGTCAATGAGTGGTTATATAGAAGGTAATGGGTGGATATAGAGCAGTTATTGGGTGGATTTAGAGAAGGTAATGGGTGGATATCGAGCAGTTAATGGGTGGTTATATAGAAGGTAATGGGTGGATATAGAGCAGTTATTGGGTGGATTTAGAGAAGGTAATGGGTGGATATCGAGCAGTTAATGGGTGGTTATATAGAAGGTAATGGGTGGATATAGAGCAGTTATTGGGTGGATTTAGAGAAGATAATGGGTGAATAATGGATATACTGTACTGTAGAGGTAGACCCTGCTGCCATGTGGCATCACAAAAATTATGACCAAGTCCTAGGTTGCTGAGCTGACTTTCTGCCTCATTTACACATAATTGCAGGGTCTCAATTGCTTCTCTTACTTTGACAACTTAACATACATACCTGTGTATCGTTTCTCACTATTGATTTTTTTCTTCTATTTATGGTACTTTATTAATAATAATATTATTATTATCTTTATTATTATTATTATTATTATTATTATTATTATTATTATTATTTTTATTATATTATTATTATTTTTATTATTATTGTTGTTGTTGTTATTATTATTATTATTGTTATTATTGTTATTATTATTATTATTATTATTATTATTATTATTATTATTATTATTATTATTATTATTATTATTATTATTATTATTATTATTTTCGCTCCCAGACCCTGATGCGGGTCATTGACCTGTGCTCTGGTGGGCTAAGCCCGTAAACAAAAATATATATACTGTACCTGTTGTCTTTGTACAACAGAAAACCAGTTCAGGGATACAAATTCAGTAACTGTCCTCGTGTTATTACTACGTCTTCTTGTTATTACTATGTTTTCTTATTGTTGTTGCAGGTGGTGATGACACTGTGGTTCGCCCAGAGGTACGAGAATGTTCACTTCTCCTCCATGCACCCTGGCTGGGCCGACACCCCTGCCTTGCAAAATTCACTCCCACAGTTCTACGAAACGGTGTGTACTCTGTTCCTTGCACTTTGTTTTTTAATACACTCTGTCTTGTACAGAAACAAATTACAGGAACCATATTCAAATTCGTTCGACATGTCTGCTAAATAACATGGGAAATTCCCTAAATAATTAGAACTAAAGCGTTCTCTAAAAAATAAGTAGAGTTCAGGTTTAGGTACAGGATGTAAGAATGAAAAAGTAATTCCCTCGGGATAAACTTGTCATTAGAAACATGAGCACAAGTACTGTACAACCCAGGTTATGGAGCCTTACTGGGATCTCCAGCATGGGACAGATTCAAGATAAACACACGTGGTTGCCTCGAAGTCTTACATACAGTGTTTGCTCAAGAGTAGAACAAAGAATCGCAAATATTTTCCACAAGAGTAAATGGATTAAAGGCAGTAAGGGTGTTAATTATTATAGTTTCCTTTAGAAACATGACATGAAATTTATACTGGTTTTATGGTAGTTTTCTCATGGTTTAGCGGTTGTTACTTTATCTGTATATTGCAGTGGTGGTTCCAAGGGAGACTCAGAAATAGTAAATCAAATTTTTTAATTGGAAAACACCAATTATTAAATTTCCACAAATCATCATTAGAGCTATAAGATTCAAATTTTCTTGGGGGTGACCCTTCACAGCAGCCGAGAGATGCTCTCAATACCTTCACATGCTTGGGTGTTGTTAACTCCCCCCCCCAAAAAAAAAAATTTATAGGCCTATATATATATATATATATATATATATATATATATATATATATAAAATTCGAGAACTAGTGGGGATCAAACAAACTCTTTCTCATCCCTTGTGACCTGACCTGAATTAAAGAAAGGGTCAATTTTCAATTTAACTTACTGCAAATTTCATGTTTATTGATTAGAGCTTCACAAGAATATTTAATATGGTGAATATAACTTATTGACTCGCACTTATGATATATTTTCTCCTCGGTTGTTTTCATAATGGTTGTCTTAGTATGCAGAGTGATAATCTGGTACTGTATATATTAAAAAAGTTAAATTATGGTCCTGCGTCTGGGAACGCTACCACAGACGTTTTATGTACAGTTCCAAGTACTATTTGTGGCTCTAACTTGCATGTTATTTTTTTTTTATTTGTCTTGTTCTCTCTTGCTAAAACCAGACAGTTCATTAATGTTTCCTGTCAACTCGCTAAAGCCACGACTTAAATGCCGCTTTTTAAATAAGTCAAGAGTCGTTTTTTTTTCTCAATCCATCAGCCAGGTTAACATTTTGCTCAATTAAAACCATTTTTTTTAAGAAAATATATCATAATAGTGACGATTCAATCAAGGAATATCCAAAGTCTTAGTGGAGGAGTTTTGTCTACCGATAAAAAGCTTACCGGTATGAGTTGTATCAACAGGGCTCTCAAGCCTACGGGACCCAGTTTAATAATAGTAATATTTATTCAATAAAATTGTCATACAAATTTACAATTAGACAGGCATGTATGTAAACTTTTCAGTTACGTAGTTCAGCACGAATAGGCCTACAATGTAGGTATACGGTGACGTAGGCCGTGGGAGTGAGTCAGTGCCGGGTTTAGAGGTTTAGACCTGTGGAGGCCCATGGGCAGCCTCTTTGTGGAGGCCCCCCTCATTATAACTACCCAAGAGGGTGGGGTGGCGAGTGAAGCGAGCCTAAACATCTGGGAGTTCCGGGGGGCGCTATAAGCCCCCCAGGAAAATTTTGAAATTTGAACACTTCTTTGGAGAATTTTGAAGCCATATGCTGAACATAGTTTTACGTGATGGAATAGATAAACATCAATTTTGAAGAGTGAAAATAAAAATAATCCAAATGAATAAACAAATAAATAAAATATTGTAATACGTGGAGGCCCCCAGATTGTGGAGGCCCCTGGGCAGCTGCCCACTTTGCCCACTCCTGAATCTGGCCCTGGAGTGAGTACTGTTTACAGTTTCCTGTGTTATGACACAGTGCAGCTATATTCATACAGCAATGATGAACAGTAAGGCAACTTGGTCAAGGATCGCCGACAAAGTTGCCAGGTGCTTATTTTCAAGAGGGTCCTTTGTTTATGCTTAGTCTAATCACCAATATAATATCTACTGAAGTAATAGTGAGGTGTTTTTATTTTTTTTTCATAAATTCAACAAGCATTGCATTGCGTCTGTACTATCCGAGGCTGGTGGTTTACTTTAACAATACAACATTCTATGGTTAATAATATATAAATTCACCTTACAGTTGTTGATAGGTGGTCTACATCCTTTTTTTTTTAATCCTCTTCACTACTGATCGGCTCGTTAGCCGCTTGGGCGATCGGTTATGTCTCTGTTACGCACTGTTGGCAATGGCAAGTACTGGGCATGCACTGGCTCCTGAATGTATCTGAACCTGCTCCAGGGCTTATCCAGTCTAGTCTTGAAAGAGCTCACACTCGGTGCCGTCACAACCCTAAACTCTTGAAATTTTGTTTGGTTACTTGTTCCTGAGCCTCCTTTAGATTATATTTTGTCTGGTAACCAATTTAATGCGTTTGTGTTTCTATCAAGATTCGAAAATTTTATACATCACAATCCACAGTTGATACCTTCAATGTTTGCACCTCAAACACCTATTGTTTCATTCTTTCAGTAATGCAATGTTGCCATATTCTTTAAAGATTCAGGTACTTATATTTTAAAGAATAAATCGTAAATGTTATGAAAAATTTGCCATTTTCCAAGAAAATGGTGGGCAAACATTTCGTGCCTACAGACGTAAGACTTCTTCAACCCTCGGGGGAGGCATTAGTGTTTACGTGTACTTCCATTTGGTATTACAAGAAGCAAAGCCATACAGATACAGTATTAACATTAGTATTGTATGTAGATGTATCTTTATAATTATAATAATTAGTAATAATATGATTAATAATATTGGTAAAAATAGGACTATAGTATAATATAGTACAGTACTATATTATTAATTTTCAGATGAAGGACACCCTGAGGACGCCAGCCCAGGGCGCTGACACCGCTGTTTGGCTGGCTATCTCCAAGTCCTGCCTCGCCCACCCCAGCGGGTTATTCTTCCAAGGTGCTAATTAACTGCTGTCTTGTTTATTGATAACTCACCCATAAATTCATGCACAATGACTCCAAAGATAATTATTTATTTCCTTCTGGGATCATTCATTATCTCCTGAGATAATTCACAGTCTCCCTAGAACATCGGCTATTTCCTGAAACATTCACTATCTCCTGAAATTAATTACCGACTCCCGAGGTTATCTGTTACCATAATTTATCGTATACTGTACAGTACTATTGGTCAATTCGTTAGCCGGCCGGGCGGTCTGTCTTTTCTGTTAGGCTATGTTGAGGTTGTACACTGACTATGAGGTTTTTCACCTCTCCTGAAACTATTCACCGACTGCTGAGGTTCTCCATTGTCCCCAGAGGTTATTAGTCTTCTGTGATAATTCAATGTCCCAAGGTCGGTCACGTCTCTGTTATGCCCTGTTGGCAAGTACAATACTGGCTCCAGAATGTATCTGTAACTGCTCTAGTAATGGTTGCAGGTACAGATACACTCTAAAATTATTCACTGTCTCCTAAAATAATTCACTATCTTCTGAGATTATTCACCATCTCCTGAGTTCATTCACTTTCCCCAAAGATCATTTTTTTGCGTTCTGCTGTTAATCACTGCCCTTGGAGTTACTAACTATTCCAAGACTTAATTCACTGGTACGAGGTTATTGTCACTTCCTGAAATAATTTACAACCCACAATTTTTTCCCCTTACGTTTACTCATTGCTCCTGTAATGTTCCATCTCCAGTGAATATTTGCCCAAATTATGTTGTTATTTAAAGTAATTTAACAGATGAATGTTCAGTTTTATGCTCAGTACTTACATGGAATTGTAAAAAAATAAAAAAATAAAAAAACATCATTATACAGCACTGTTCTGTAATCATACAGTATATATATACGGTGTATATATATATATATATATATATATATATATATATATATATATATATATATATATATATATATATATATATATATATATATATATATATATATATATATATATATATATATATACACACACACACACATATATATACAGTCAACCCTCACTTTACGCGGTTAATACAACCCACAGGGTACAGCGTAAAGTGAACAACATAACATATGGGATTAATTGAAATAGAGACCGGGCCGACCCCCAAACTCCACTTTTTGACGACACACAACTATGTTGTAGTAAAAATTTTATCTTAACTTTATGATGGTATGCACACACAATTAATATAGAAGAGGTTAGGTTAGGATAAATAAAGGTTAAGTTAGGAAAAATAAAGGTTAGGTTAGGAAAACTAAAAGTTAGGTTTAACACTTACGTTAGTAGAAGAGATGGGTCGGCATATGGGGATGGAGGCTGGTTCCGAGGCAGAGGGCAGGCTACTGGCCCTCAGGTGAGTCACCATCACTGTCATCCACACTTGTCAGGGCCTCCCTGACAAATCCCTCAAAGTCATCTTCACTGTCTCTACCTCTGTCACTATCACTGGCTTGGGTTGGCTGTGGTGGGTTGCAGGCGAAGAACTCTGTTATGCTTTGCTGACGGCTGGTGTTTATGTTGTCATGATAAACCTTGAAGTAGGGCTTCATAGTCTGCAACAGCTGGGTAGTGAAGATTTCATATCTGTTTGCGTCAGGGTCGTCGGAAAGGAGGAGCTTGACTTTCTCGATACACTCGATGGCACTCCTATCATTACTATGGGATAAGCGGTGTTCTTCTTGGGATGACGCACCACCTGCCTCTTCACTGACGTCATCATCATCTACCATCTCGTCGGTAGTCACATCAGGATCCCTTATCACCTCCAGGATGTCGTCGTTGGTGGTCTCGGAGAAGCCTGCAGCTGTAACACTCTGCGCGGCTCCTCTGGCAAGGTCCACTGCTACTGCAACAGTCTGAACCTCACCAGTCACAGATTGACTCTGCCTAACGGCCGGAATGCCTTGCAACACATGTCTCCATGCGTGACGAACAGTTGCTACAGACAGCTGATCCCATGCCTCCACCAAGAAGTCCACAGCTTTCTTGATGTTGAATATTCTCCAGAATTTTTTGAAAAGTATTTTTTGCTCTGCCAACTGTTGATCCTCGTTGTCTTCGCTCTTGCTATCGGTGGTGGTGTCACTCAGGTTACGCAACTCTTCCCTGGTGTTGGTGTAGTCGTTCAGGAGCTTCAATTTTTTAGTAGAGAATGCAGCTTTTACATTACAGATTAACTCTTGGTCCATGGGCTGTAATATAGACGTAGTGTTGGGAGGAAGGAAGACCACTTTTACGTTGGGGTGACGATCTAACAGTAGGAGCGAGTGTCCTGGTGCGTTGTCCAGCAGCAACAAAATCTTGAATGGCACATTCTGTTGCTCACAGAATTTCTTTACATCGGGAACGAAACAGTCATCAAACCAGGAGAGGGACAGTGTAGAGAACATCCACGCCTTACGTGCGGTCAGCCAGTGGACATTTAGCTTGGTCATGTCCATGCTTTTGTAGGCGTGCGGCTTGCATGCTGTGTGGATCACCGATAACTTGAGCTTACAGGTACCGGCGGCATTGGTGGTAAACAGGACGGTGATGCGCTCCTTCTGCAACTTCCGGCCCCAAATCTTGCTGGCATTCTTCACAACGAAGGTCTTGGAAGGTAGCTTTTTCCAAAAAAGACCAGATTCGTCCATGTTAAACACCTGGTCGTCGGTGTACTGTCCTTCCTCCATAATCTCACGTAAAAATGGAGGAAATTCCCTAGCCGCAACACGGTCAGCACGAGCTTCTTCACCACCAATGTTGATATTGGTGATCTTGTTCCTCATCTTAAACCTCTGTAACCACCCAGAGGAAGCATTAAAGGGTTTGGGCTCTGTAATTCCCATCTTTCGTGCCACTGCCATGTACAGTCCACGTGTGTAGTCCTTAACAGAGCGCGTGTCCACCGCCATGTTCCGTCGCGCCTGACGCACCAAGTAGCTCACAAGTAATTTTTCCGTCTTGAGAAGCACCTGGTTGTGGAAATACTTGATCATAGAAGCACCTGTCGACTCTGTGATCTTCATGTGCTCCTTTATCTTGGCTGCATCCTTCTTTATCGTCCGGATCGTAGATTCGTTCACACCATGCTGGCCCGCCAAATCAACCTGTCTTGTTCCTTTCTCCAACTCTTGGATGATCTTGTACTTCACCTCGTAGCTTAAGGAACGTCGTGTCTTCTTTGGCTTAGGGCGGCTGGGTCCAGGCAAGGAATGGATTCTCTCTCTGGGGGCGGTGGTCCAGCGGAAGCCATTTTACAGAACAATGGATGCACGATTACACGGTGTGGCCTGGAGGGATGAAACTGCCGCGGCTAGGTCAAGCGTCGTCTTTCCTCCCTCCCTTCCTCCCCCGGGTGGACACATCATATTACTTTAAACCAATTACAGCTAGCGGCGGAGTGAGGTAGGGATGCATGGCCAATCACAGTCCGATACGTCATATGACGTCACTGATAACGCAACAGAGACATGCACTGCGCAACCTTACCGTGCGGCTTGCCCAGGCGGAGGCGGGAGCAGGCGGGAGGGGCGAATCTAAAAATAGCGTCGAGCCGGACACTCTTCGCGTAAAGGGGTACACGCACAGCGGAATGTGAGCATCCCGGGTTTTGGCAGGGTACCGCGTAAACGTGGAAACGCAGAATGTGGGACCGCGTAAAGTGAGGGTTGACTGTATATATATGTGTGTAATTTTTTTTTTTTCCTTGATGACTTATTTTTTATTTTCATTTACTGTATTTTGTCATTCTATTTCTTCTTTTCTCTTGAATTAAGTTATTTTATATGTATATAAGGACTTAGGCTTTGATATAGTGGGATTTTAAACATTGTTCTGTAAGTACGGTACGCACATAACCTGTGTTCCGATTTACGTACATTTCTGACTTAAGAAGGTCTTCAGGAACAGAACCTGTTCGTAACCCGCGGATCCCCTTTATGTATATACTATATAAAGCACAGTGTCTGTTTGTGTTTGATTGTCTGCTTGTTTGCATGTATGGCTACAGTTTTGAAGAGTAAGAGAGCTGAAATTTAGCATATAGATGGGATTCAACCCAGGAATGTCCTAAAGGTGATATTTTAGTGGGGTTAGCTCCACAGCCCTCCACCAAAATGGAACCCACGTAATATAAATACATGACCATGTTGGGGCCATCTCCCACCTGAAATTGTTGTATATTAATGGCCTTCTTATTTGCAGACCGAGAGCCAGTCCCAACCCATCTGCCTCTTGCATGGACAAAATCAACCATTGAAGAGGAAAACCTTCTCTTGGAAAACATCGAAGCATGGCGTCTCAAAGTATCAGACCCAATTATTGCTCCAGCAACAATACCCACACCTGCATCTAAGGTAGTACTACCTCCAGCTGCTGAATCTGAAGTTGCTTCCACTGAAACTGAAGTACCTGTAGTTGCTCCCACTCAAATTGAAAACGTTACTTCCTCTGAATCTGAAAAAGTTGCTTCTACTGAAACTGAAGAAATTGCTTCAGTTAAAGTTGAAGAAATTGCTCCCACTGAATCTAATGAGATTAAAGAATCAGATGCAGTTCCAGAGCCTGCTGCTGAAATATCTGCTCCTGTTGAGCCAATTTTTGAAAAAGATCTTGTAGTGGAAGAAACCCCCGCTCCCCTTTCAACCAAGGCATCAATTCCTGCAGAAGCAAAAGTATTTGAAGAGGAACCAGAGCGTATAACTCCTGCAAAACCCAAAGTTGTAGAGTTGGATACTGCCCCTGTTGAAGAGAAAGAATTGGATGCTGTTTCAGCAGAACCTGAGGTAGAATTGGATAAGGCTCCTGCAGAACCTGAAATGGATGAGTTAATTGAGGATCCTACTGCAGCCAAAGTCGAAGAATTGATTGAGCTTTCTGAAGAACCTAAGGTAGAAGATAATGTTATTCCTTCTGCAGAATCCAAAGTGGTGAAATTAAGTCCAGCTAAATCTGTAAAACCCAAAAAGGAAGAAGTTGTTGCAATCCACACATCCACAAGCAGCCAGGAGAATTTACCCACCTTAGAGGTCAGTAGTAAGTTCAGTGTTCCAGTGGATGAGAGTGCCGCAAACTATTTGCTTACTACATAAATTTCTGTGTCTAAGAAGCCAGCAACTGTTAAAACTTTTGCTGCTGCAGATGCACCCAAAACTGAAACAAAGATTCCCCTTTCAGATCCATTCCCCCCAGTCTTAACCGAGATGCCACCAGTTGCGAAGACTGCTCTTCTAGAATCCAAACCTGAAGTCGAGGAGTGACCAGCCACAGCCAAGCTTTTCGTGTAGCTTATTAGGAAGATGAAGACAAACATCATTATCCTCAAACATGTCTAGTCTCGTTGCTGATCACAAAGCAAAGGAAGTTTTCTCCTTTAGCTCAACTAAGGATAGAACTACTTAAAAGTAACCCGGTATGACTGAGAAATCAGTATCCAGCAAGGCTGCAAGCGTAAGTTATATCAATACTGTACAGTCACAGAAAAAGAATCTGCGTCATCATTAGAGGCCACATCTGCTTACCCCCCACCAGCTGATGTAGTTTCAGGTGATGCTTGTGAAGCATCTTGATCTTTAGAATGAGCTATATTACTTGTGTACATATGTTATTTGGCAGCCAACAATATTGAAGAAATAATTTTTTTCACATTGTTACTGCCATCTTTTCTTAGGTCAGCACTTTCAACAGCATACCCAGTGACATTTAATTCATATTTATGAATACATTAGTCATTTGAACAGATGTAATAGTTAGATAGTTATCTATTTAAATTAGTATTGCATAAGATAAAGATCAATAGAAGTTACTGAGTGTAGTGTGGATTTTTATTTTACAAATAATACTGTAGTCCTTTTTCTTTGAGTTCTCTTCTTACCTTTCATTTCCCAAAACATTGTCTCAATACACACATCATATTTTTTACAGCCATGCATAAATTACACAAAATTCAGACTACAGTATCTGGGTATTTATGCCACATAATGTACAGTATTTGGTTGGGCCAGCTAAAGGTTATAGATACTGTACTGTACCTTACTTTACTGTACTGTACTGTACTGTATTGTACTGTACTTGAATAATTCATGATATTAATGGCTCAGTACTTTTATACAATTTTTTTATCTCATGTTCTGTGAATATCTTTATAAGTAAAATGCATTTTATCAACTGACAGCCACTTAATAATGATTTTAATATATTTATTTTCCTGCAATTCAGACAAAAAAATTTGCAAGAAATCAAGCAAGAATATTTGTAGTCAATCAAATGTAATAACTGATTTCCAGTACTGTATACAGTACAGTATTAAAGTGAAGCCAAGGTAATTTGCTAATTGTTGGTGGGGATTCTTTTCATGTCTGGGAGGTACAGGTACAGTATTACTATTTTCAAGAATTCAACATGCCTATCTGGCCTAAAGTAAAATAACCAGTGTGAAGTGATGATGAATATAACAACCTTGGAAGGTCTAAATCACTTATCTAAATGCTGAAATCAGCTTCACTTAAATCCATGTACTGTTGCAACTCCGTCATCAGTTATGTTATTCATGAAAAGTTACCAAGCCATGGACACTCTTGCTACAAGATCTTATTGTCTGGACACAGTTCAATGTCATCAAGGGATGTGCATCTATACACTGACCTATGATTGTACACTCTAATTATCCTTTTCTAGTTGTCCTAATGCCAAAGTGCCTATCCATAGAGGGTAGTTTGTCTGTGGAAGGTAATTGATTTTATATTGATGTACCATCACTGTAAATAAGTATGCTATAGTGGTTAACTAGATACAGTCTTATTATGTTTTGTTTAGTCAGTGGTAGCAGAAGGACATACAGTATGTGTTCTGATGATTGCCTAGCTTTGTGAGGCCTTTTTAGGTCTAAAATAACTGTGATGTTCTGTAGAGTCAGTTGGTCATGAATCATTGAAATCCTAGATATAAGACACTAATGAAGAAAAAAATCTGTGATTGTTGGGTTGTGTTAGCTGTTTAAAGTAAATACGAGAATGGTGGCAGAGGCTGGACATGTACCACAACCTCCATGACTTGATGCAACATCCACTCAAAATATAGATTAGTGGAATAACAATGAAATGTATCACTTAATTCACTGAAGTGACCAGTTGTTGCATCCTATTTGCTGTATAAAGTATATATTCTGTATCTTTTGCTTCTGTCACATCATCTGAAAAAGTGATAACCTATTAAATATATATTTTTTTTATCCTTGGCACAACACAGTATACTGTACGTACTTCATTTCTTGTAGCTCCCAGAGCAAAATGAATCTAACAAATTAGAAAATTGTGCCATTATTACAAGATTATTGAAATTCTTGTAAGGGAATACAGGTATTTAAAACAGCTGTACTTACGCTTGTTAGCCTATAATAATACAAGAAGACTTAAATAGGTATTCTTATCCTTACATACGAGTATAAAGCAGATAGTTTGTAGAGTAGATATTATACGGTTAATATTTAGTAGTTGCCAACACATAATTATACAGTATAGGGATAAAGAATTAAAATAATTCTATAGCATTTCCATTGGAAATTTATATTTTTTGAGTATTTTAGCCAGTAAAATTACCAACAATATTAGTTGTTCAAAGTGGGTACGGTTAAAGAAGAATGAAAAAGACCACTAAATAAACCTTGGAAAACCTTACCTAACCTTTCCAAACTTACAAAAAAGTTAAGAATTGCTTTCGAGTTTATGGGTCCCTCCCCATCTGAAGACGGAAAACAACACCATCACATACTGTACTAAACTCCAAAAACACGAATAAGGTAAAAGGTTTTTATAGTTTTAGGATTTTTATAGGTTCGGAAAGGTTATGTAAGTTTTTCAAAAGTTTGTTGGTCTTTTTTTTAGTATTTCACCTTACATTTTCCCTCTACTTTGAACAAATAATATTGTTGGTAATTGTATCAGTTAAAATACTCGAAAAATATAAATTTCCGTAAACACTATAGATTAAAGTATTTTTATTTTCTCTTTCTCCCTATACAGTACTGGTAAAAGACTCAATAAATAAAAAGGTGTTAGCAACTACTTAATATTACCCAGTATAACAGTAAACCAGGACTTTCCTGACCAGGTAGCAGTTAGGTCATGCAGGGTCGTGTTGCGTCTGTAACAAAGAGATAGCGTTTGGCATTCGGGCCTTTATTGTTGAGTGGTAGAAATTGGACAGTGATTACACAAGAGCATGAAGATCGTCTTAGTGAAGTGCTTCCCCGTCTGGAGTACTGTCACACCATCTGGTCCCCGAGATATGCTAGGGATTGTCAGTTGATTGAAAATGTCCAAATGAGGGTCACCAGACTGGTGCCTGCACTACGGCACCTCAGCTACCCTGAGAGATTAGAGCACCTGAAATTGCCTAGCTTATACTACAGACGGGCAAGGGGAGACCTAATTGAGATGAATAAGCATCTTAAAGGGCACTACTCAGTCGAGTGCCCTTACCTGGAGCTGGCGGACGCTCGCCCCACAAATGGGGATATCTATGCTAGGCAAGACCTTGGAGCCAGCCAGGTGAGGATACAGGGAGAGGATGTTTTTGAAGAGTCCAACTAGTGTAAAATTAAACTAAAGGGAAGTTTCTTACTTATTGTCGGGTGTATGTACAGATCCCAAAACTGTGGCCCACTAAATCAAGGAACTTAAGAGCCTTAATAGACAACGAGGCGATGCTCAACACTTGTCACCTCCTTATCATGGGGGACTTTAACTATGGCGACATCGACTGGAGAAACGAGTTCACCCCAAATGACTTGAATAACCCTGCTACTCTTTTTGTAGAAACTCTGAGAGATAACTTTCTGTTCCAACATGTTAGAGACCTGACATATTACAGAGGGGAGCAAACACCCAAGCCACTAGACCTCATCATAACAAACGAGGAGGGTATGGTGGCCAAACTAGAACACCTTGCCCCAGTTGGCACCAGTCACCATATAGTGTTGTCATTCAGATTTAACTGTTACCTAGTTCAAGATAAAACCAAGCCAAGGTGCAAATATTGCAGGGGAAATTACAATGGGATGAGGGAAGAGATGAGGGGTATCCACTGGCCTGACTCATTAAGGCACAAGAACGCAGAAACTACGCTGAATATCATAACTAGTAAAGTGACCCACCAAATCCAGTGCCTCTAGGAATACGAGGTGATCCCTACACATGAACCATGCGGCGGTCGACAAAGTTAAGAAGAAAACCCAGAAATTCAAGACGTGGGTTGGGTCAAATAATGAGCAGGGCAGGAGGATGTATGCAAGAGCCAGAAACCAAGCAAAGATAGAATGTAGAAGGGCTGAAAAGGAGTTCCAGAGGCTGGTTGCAAGCGAGGTCAAGTCAAACCTAAAGGTGTTTTACCGCTATGCAAAGTCGAAATTAAAAACGCGAGTATGAGTATCAGACCTGAGGCTTGAAGATGGTAGTTAGGCAGATTCTAACCAAGATAAAGCTAAGGCATTGAACAGCTTCCTTTCCTCGGTGTTCACAAGAGAGGATGCGATTAACCTTCCTGCGTTTGAGGACAAACGGTTCGACACAGCACTGACCCACATTGTGTTCACAGAAGAGGGTATTAGAAATAAACTGTCAAAGCTAAAGGTCCATAAGAGTCCCGGCCCTGACATAGTGCATCCTAGAGTGATAAGAGAGTTGAGCAACGAGCTTGCCGAGCCCCTGAAGATCCTGTTTTGTAAATGCCTGGATGAACGAAACGTCCCCAGTGAATGGAAAGTGGCTTATGTGAGTCCTATCTTCAAGAAGGGTGATCGTCACTCCACGAACAACTATAGACCGGTGAGCCTGACCAGCATAATATGTAAAGTACTTGAGAGTATTATCAGAGATGCATCGATGGAACATCTACTACGAAACAACCTTGTAAAGGATTGCCAACACGGTTTTATGCCGGGGCGCTCCTGCTTAACACAATTGCTCAAGGTATTGGATATTTGGACCCATATTCTGAAACAGGGTGGTAATATAGACGATATTTACCTAGAGTTTGCCAAGGCTTTCGACAGTGTACCCCACAAAAGGCTGAAAATCAAACTTGAAGGGTACGGAATTCGGGGAAATGTCCTAGCGTGGATAGAAGACTTTCTACATGACCGCAAGCAGTGTGTGGTGATTAATGGCACGAAATCATCATCTGTACCTGTCACAAGCGGGGCACCACAGGGCAGTGTGTTGGGCCCGCTGTTGTTTTGTTTCATAAATGACATGCCTGACGTTGTACACTCCTCCATACAAATGTTTGCCTATGACGCCAAGTTATTTCGGGAAATCAAGAACCAAGCGGACTGTGAAGAGCTGCAGAAGGACCTCTGTGGGCTCCAAGAATGGTCTAAGAAATGACTGCTGAGATTCAATGTCACGAAGTGTAAGAGGATGCACCTGGGGCGTACCAACGGTAAAGAGGCGTATCATATGTCCCAACGGGATGAAGAAACTGCACTATTGGAGACTGAATGTGAGAAGGACCTAGGTGTGTATGTTGACAATGAGCTGAAGTTCTCGGGCCATTGCGAGAAGAAGGTAAATCAGGCAAATAAATTATTGGGTCTTATAAGAAGGTCGTAACGATCTTGAAGAGTGAAATGATTCCCCATCTGAAGTACTGTCACGCCGTCTGGTCCCCGAGATATGCTAGGGAATGTCAGTTGGTTGAAAATGTTCAAAGGAGGGCCACCAGACTGGTGCCTGCCCTTCGGCACCTCAGCTACCCTGAGAGATTGGAGCGCCTGAACTTGCCAAGCTTATACTACAGACGGGCAAGGGGTGACCTAATAGAGGTGTATAAGCATCTCAAGGGGCACTACTCAGTCGAGTGTCCTTACTTGGAGCTGGTGGACGCTCGCCCCACAAGGGGTCACAGCTCAAGATTGAAGAAGCCGCAAGTCCAGAAAACTGTGAGGGCAAACTTTTTCGGAGTGAGAGTTGTGAACTCTGGGAACAATCTACCAGAAAGTGTTGTGACGGCACCGAGTGTGAGTTCTTTCAAGACAAAATATGACCAGCACTGGAGCGGGTTCAGGTACATTCAGGAGCTGGTGCATGCCCAGTACTTGCCAACAGTGCGTAAGAGAGACGTGACCGATCGCCCAAGCGGCTAACGAGCCGATCTTTTGGTGAGGAGGATAAAAGAAAAGGAAAAGTAATCAGAGACGTGACCGATCGCCCAAGCGGCTAACGAGCTGATTAGTGGTGAAGAGGATAAAAGAAAAAAGACACTTCCCTTGAGGATAATTAAATACTTTCGAAATTAACATCCTTATAACAATTTCACTATCAAAATCAGGTTCCTTGATGTTCATAGGTGAAAAAAAAGGACTTCAACATCAGTTAGCAACTCCTGGCATCTCTAGGGACGACGTCAATGATACCTCATTCATACAGTAGACTATACCCTGACTTATATTGACAACTTCACTACAGTAAATACAATTGAAGCTTTAAACATCACTCACAACGGATCATGAACGTTTTATTTGTAATCAGACCTATCTAATTTGACGTAAAACAATGGTGTTCTCTCTCAATTTTAAATTTAATGAACACCCTTTGGGCTATTTATAAATACCCTAGTCTCCAATAGAGTCATGTACAGAAACTGGAGGATTTAAGACATCCTGAAACGGTCTGAGAACGAATGCTTCAACTGGGGGACTCAAAAGGTTCACAGGTTTTGTGGGCGTGGAGCATAATAGGAATTATTAGGTATTAAACAGACTAGCTATGCTATTGTGATTATGAACATGATAAGGATGAATCTTAAACCAAGACAACAATACGTATTTGCTCGAAACAAGGCTAACAAAGTGGGTTCATACAAAGGAAGTGTTAGGTACAATACCAGCGAGGTTATCCTAAAAGTATATCTTGCGCTTGTGAGACCTCACTTGGATTATGCAGTTCAGATTTGGTCACGTACTACAGAATGGATATCGAATCCCGAGAAGGCATACAGAGAAGCACTGTGGTACTAATCACTTTACTGGAACACCGTGAAACGTCAACAAAGGCTGTGAGTGAGCTCTCCCTACAATTCCCAATTCTGATGAATTTAGTGAGACGACTTCCTTCAGTCTGTTTAGAGAACTACAGTGGAGACCAGTTGTAAGCACAGTGTCGCTTGTGAAATTTATAGTTGCTGGACTTAAACAATATTTTAGATAAAATATCTGGACTTTCTGCCTGGACCCTCTGGTCGGTTACTTTCGCATCTGCGCATGCGCAGTGCGAAGAGCGTGGCTACGTATGACGTGGTAGTGACGTCGTTGCCTCTCCATCTCGCCTGTGACCAAACACAAGCATTGCACAATGCCTGGGGAGAGTGGTGGGCAGAAACCTATGGAGGCTTTGGCTAAAGAAGAAAAGATTGCCCTA